AACACAGTTAAAAAATGGGCAAAGGACCCGAGCAGACATTTCTCAAAAGAAGACATACAAATGGCCCAATGAGCACATGAAAAAGGTGCTCAAAATCACTAATCATTGGGGAAATGCAAATTAAACCCAGAATGAGTTAGCATTTCACCCCAGTTAGAATGGCTATTATCAATAAGACAAAATAACAAATGCTGGTGAGGATGCAGAGAAAAGGGGACCCTCCTACTGTGCTGGTGGGCATGTGAGTTGGTACAGTCATTGTGGAAAGCAGTATGGAGGCTCCTCAGAGAACTAAAAATAGATCTACTTTACAACCCAGCTATCCCACTACTGGGTATATACCCAAAAGAAATAAAATCAATATATCAAAAAGACACCTGCACTCCCAGGTTCATTGCAGCACTATTCACAATAGCCAAGAGATGGACTCAACCTAGATGCCCATCAACAGATGAAGCTTTTAAAAAACTGTGGTATATATACACAATGGAATACTATTCAGCTATAAAAAGAGATGATATCCTATCATTTGCAGCAACATAGATGGAACTGGAAATCATCGTGTTAAGTGAAGTAAGTCAGGCACGGAATGACAAATACTGCATGTGAAATCTTAAAATAAAAAAAAAAAAGTGGTTCTTATGGAAGTAGAGAGTAGAATAACGGTTACCAGAGGCCGAGAGAGGAGGGAGTGAGGGAAAGAAGTGGTAGACTAATGGATACAAAACTGTGCTCTGTACCCTAAGTGAAAAAAAAAAAAAAAATCTACACATTCAATACAATCCCTACCAAAACACAAACAACATTCTTCACAGAAATAGAAAAAATGATCTTCAAATGTGTATAGAACCACAAAAGACACCATATTGCTAAAGCAATCTTGAACAAAAAGAACAAAGTTGGAGACATCATACTTCCTAACTTCAGAATACCTATAAAACTGCAGTAACCAAAACAGCATGGTACTGGCATAAAAAGAGACAAAGTGACCAATGGAACAGAATAGAGAGCCCAAACATAAACCCACACATTTCCAGCCAACTGATTTTCAACAAAGGTGTCTGTAATGGATTAAATTATGTCCCCCCAAAACTCAATGAAGCTTGAATTGTATTCCCCAAGTTTTATGTATTAGAAACTTAGTCACACAATGACTGTTAAGAGGGTGGGAAATCCTATTATAGTAATTGAAAGGTGGAGTCTTGAACAGGTGATTGGATCGTAGCACCATGCCCTAGTGAGTGGATTAAAAATGGTGGTCAGGGGCCGGCCCGGTGGCGCACTGGAGACTGTGCCACTTGGGAGCGCGGCGGTACTCCCGCCTAGGGTTCGGATCCCATGTGGAGACCGGTTCCCGCTCACTGGCTGAGCGCGGTGCGGGTGCAACACCGAGGGTTGCGATCCCGTTGCCAGTCCCCGGTACGGGCGCGACACCGAGGGTTGCGATCCCGTTACCAGTCAGTAGAAAAAAAAGTTAAAAAAATAAATAAATAAAAATAAAAATAAAAATGGTGGTCAGGTGTGTTGTTCTGAGGGCTTTAAAAGAAGAGAGTCTGTCTCTTTTTCTCTGCTCCCTCTCCATCCACCATCTTGCAATGTGAGACCCCTGGGTCACTGCTGCCACCACCAGAAGGACTTTGGATTTCTGTCTCAGAAACTGTAAGCAATAAATTTCATTTTCTTCATAAATCACCCAATTCAGTGTACTTTGTTATAAGCAACAAAAACAGACTAATACAGTGTCAAAAATACATACTAGGGATAGGACAGCCTCCTTAATAAATGATGCTAGGAAAACTGGATAGACACAAGAAGACTGAAACTAGACCCCATCTCTCACCACACACAAAAATCAACTCAAAATGGATCAAAGACCTAAATTTAAGATTCCAAACTATGAAACTACTAGAAGAAAATATAGGGGACATACTACTACATGAAATGAGGGTGGGATGCACTTTTTTGGGCAAGACTCCAAAGACATAGGCAACAAAAGCAAAAATACATACACGGGACTACATCAAACTAAAAACTAAATCTGTACCTCAAGGGACACTACCAATAAAGTGAAGAGACAATCCACAGAGTGGAAGAAAGTGTTTGCAAACTACACATCAGACAAGGGGTTAATGTCCAGAACGTATAAGGAACTCAAATAACTCAAAAGCAAAAAAAAAAAACAAATAACCCAATTTAAAAAATGGGCAAAAGACCTGAACAGACATTTCTCAAAAAAAAAAACATACAAATGGCCAACAGGCACATGAAAATATGCTCAACATCACTAATTGCTGATTAAAACCACAATGAGGTATCATCTCACCCCAGTTAGAATGGTTATTATCAACAAGACAGAAAGTAATAAATGCTGGTGAGGATGCGGAGAAAAAGAACTCTCCTACACAGTTGATGGGAATGTAAATTGGCAGATCCACTGTGGAAAGCAGTATGGAGGTTCCTCAGAGAACTAAAAATAGATGTGCCTACGACCCAGCTATCCCACTACTGGGTATATACCCAAAGGAAATGAAATCAATATATCAAAAAGACACCTATATTCCCATGTTCATTGCAACTCTATTCACAGTAGCCAAGAGATGGAATCAACCTAAATGTCCATCGATAGGTGAATCGATAAAAAAATGTGTATATATATATATACAACGGAATACTATTCAGCTGTAAAAAGAAATGATGTCCTATCATTTGCAGCAACGTGGATAAAACTGGAAATCATCATGTTAAGTGAAGTAAGTCAGGCACAGAAAGACAAATACCACATATCACTCAAACATGAAATCTAAAAAAAAATAAAATAAAAAAAGTGGTTCTCACCGAAGTAGAGACTAGAATAACGGTTACCAGAGGCTGGTTGGGGAAGGCAGACAGGGGAGAGGAGAAGTGGTGGACTAATGGGTACAAAACTATGCTATCTACCCTAAGTGAATCACGGTGCAGTATATAAGCATGTATTGAAACAACACACTATACCCCTACAAACATGTACAATTAGATGTTTATATAAATAATACTAATAAAATAAATGAACATTATATGTTAATAACTCTGAAATTTGTATCTTAATTTTAAACCTGTTCTCTAAGTCCTGGACTTTGTTTCCAATTCCTACATGAATCTCCACTTGGATGCCTCAAAGATATATAAAACTTATGCCTAAAACAGAACCCTTAATTTTCCCCATAAACTTGTTCCCTCTCAGTCTTTCCCAATAAAGGCTGCCTGGTTACATAAGCCACCAGTAGCAGTAGATTGTTCCTCTTTCCTCATCCCAAATCCATACCATCAGAAAATCCTGTAAACTCCATTTAAAAATATATCTCAAATCTGTCTCTCTCCACCTCCACTGGCTTCCATCACCTCTCAGCCTCAGCTATTGTAATAACTTCCTAACTCTCTGATTGTGACCAACCCCTCCCAACTAGAACCATGGCATTCTGTATCTTAGCCCTTTGTTAGTTTCCTTCCTAATACTCACTGTCACCTACAAATATGTTATTTATATGTCTGTCTAACTCTTTTTTTTTCTATCTTCTACACAGGAATGCAAGCTCCATGAGGGCAGGTATTGTTGTACCCCAAGTGTACAGTGAAGCACTATGCTTGAAACAATGCCAACATTTACTAAATATATACTGGGTAAAGAACTCTACTTTATTTTATTTATTTTAAGAGAATATGTCAATGCTTATAACCTACTCCAGGATACAGTGAAATCTTGCCCTTTCCAAACAATTGTTGTTGTTCTAAATGTTGTTACTCTCTTCTGCTTACTCTGCCTGTGAGAATTCAAAAGTTGGAATTCTATGCTCTATCTTCCACACATGTCATATAACTTTCCTGTTATTCTAGTTATTTTCTTGTATAATCAGTATATTTCCCTAGCTATTTTTCTATTACACTATTTCACTATTCTACCAAATATATTTTGCTAACATATTCCTTTCTCCTACTAATCTTACTATATTGTTATCATATTATATGCAGGTTCAACACCTTATATTCATTATCTCATTTAATCTTCACGACAACCCTACAACATATGTATATATATATTTTTTTTTTCCTTTTTTTTTTTTTTTTATCTTTTTTACTGACCGGTAACGGGATCGCAACCCTCGGTGTTGCACCCGCACCGCGCTCAGCCAGTGAGCGGGAACCGGTCTCCACATGGGATCCGAACCCTCGGTGGGAGCGCCGCCGCGCTCCCAAGCAGCACACTCTCCAGTGTGCCACCGGGCCGGCCCATATGTATATATTTTTATTTCCATTTCACAGATGAGGAGACAGAGGCATAGGGGGGTTAAATAATTTGCCTAAAGACAAAGACTTTGGAAGTACTAGAGCCAGGATTGAAATTCCAGTCTATTTGACTGTAGAGACCATAACTAGCAGTTTATATGTTTCTTTTACTTTGTTTTCTTTTTTTACTTCCTGAAGAAAAAAATAGCTGTTAGTTTCTTCGTTCCAAAGCTTATTTTAAAGAAGAGAAAATGGATGTCAGAGAAGGAAGGCAGTTTTCCCTAGCAGTGGTAGACAGAACAAAGATTCAAAACACAGCTGTCTGACTACAAAGCCAGTGATTTTTTTATTACCTCAGGGATTCTTAATCAAAGGATCAGAAATTCCACAGAAGAACATCAGAGGTCCATGGAACAGCTTAGAATTATAGGTAAAATTTTGTGTCTATTTATGTAAGTCCATTTTTCTGGAAAAATGGCCCATAGCTTCTCAAAGAGGTCTATGACTCCCTAAAAGGTTAAGAACCACCACTATACTGACTCCATAAGAAAAATAAGAAAATGAAACATGAAACCCAACACTTCTTAAAATAAATGTGATTTACAATGTACACGTTCATTTTTTAAAATTCTATTTTCATTCTTACTACAGAAAATAAACCAATACTCTCCAGCTAACTGTTTAGAAAACATTTTGTAAAAGAACCATTTTAACTCTAATCTGTTTATATACTTTAAATACTAAGAAATGATTACATTCAAAATGATTACATTCAAAATCTTACATTCTTCAGGCTGGACAGATGAATAACTCCCAAGATTTAATAGCTGACTGGTAAATGTTGATTGCAGTATTGTCTCACCAACCCACTGATCCTCACGGATAGTAACATCTAGAGAGGAAAAAAGGTTCTTATCATGCCATAAATTCTTTCACGCTGTGCTTAACTTACCAATCATAGCAAAATACTATGTATACCAGATGCCAGGCAACTAAAGTTCAGATAGGTTAAGTGAATTGCCTAAAGGCACAAAACGTAAAACAGCAAATCCAAATCTGAACCTAGGAATGTCTGCAGATAAAATAATAAAATTGCTTCCATGCATTTAAATGATATGAATATGGAATCTCACTGCTCTACAGAGAAAGGTTTAATGGTTTTCATACATACAGCAAATGGTAAAATGCATATTTCTGATAAATTAGAAATAAATATTTTAGGATAAAGAAGCAAAGTAATGGTTCCAAAGCAGTAGTGCCTACAAGAATATTCAGTATGCATTGGTCCATTCTGCTATAAAAATATCTGAATATAATATAATGCATCCTTAAAGGACTTGATTTTTCCCTCAATAGCATGGTAATCATCTTTTACAGATCTTAAAAGTGAAAGACTTTGGAGGTAGCAAACACATTCCAGTAGGAAAGATGGAGCTGTCTGATCTAAGATGAATAGAGAAGAACCATTTGGTGGAACTAAACATACCAACAGGTAGGAATAAAACTAGGTAGAACAAGATCTGTAAGTTGTAAAGAGAAAGAAAGAGGGCTTTCTCTCAGAATATAATCAGTGTACAAAGTGTTAGAAATATAAACATATATTAACGGTAGCAAAATAATTTGGAGATGAGAAAGGAAAACAACGATGCATAAATTCCAAGTGACTACTTCCAAATTTATATTCCAGGCCCTCTCCTCAGCTTCAGGCTCTTTTATCTAACTGACTAATGGACAGTCCCTCCTGGGTATTCTATTAACTCCCCAAACTCAGCACTGTCTAAACCTGCCTTTCCTCTCATATGACCCATCCCATTTGTTGGCACTTTGCTGCTAGTCATGTAAACCAAAATCTGAAGTCAGCTGGCCTCTCTCTTCCCACCTTCTGTCCCCAATCCCCCATCTACTGACTCTGACTCTTTAATCTGCCCACTGCCTTGCCACTGCTACCATTTTACCTCACACATTCCTCTCTCTCCTAACGGGTCCCCTTCCCCCTGCAATCCATGTCCTGCAATGCTAATTAGTGATTTATTTAGAGCATTAATGAGATCAGGTCGCTGGATAAAAGTGGCTCTCCACTGCCTAACCAGAAAGAGCTAGCACAGCTTTCAAGACTTTTTTCATGATCTGACCTTCGAGATGCCTGCTCTTCAGAAGAAAGGAACAAATGAGAAATTTCAATGAGAGCCTTCTGAAAATTGGGATTGTACAGCCTCTACTGGATTAGTGACATGTTAATTCCTGGTGGTGGGTGAAGGAAAAAGCAGTGCAACCCTTGCTTCCCACTCACTGTTTCACACACACAAAAAAACTTACTCAGAAATGGGTGAACAAGATACTTTTTCCTAAGGAAATAATGCAAAAAATGCCACAAAAACGTGATACTTTTTTTAAAAAGGTGTTTACAGAAATAACCTAAATGTTCGATAATAAGAAGATGGTTAAGTAAATTGTGGTAAAATCACTTGACAGAATGTCACCTAGCTGTTAATAACTATTGCTAGAGATTGCCGGGTTGAGTTTCCATCTCCTAGGAAAAGACCTCCTGGAAGGCTCACACAGTGACAGTAAATGCCTTGGTAAAATAACCATGGTCCAGGGTACACTCTGAGAAACCTAATTTTCTCAACATTCCAAATTTAGATTTCAGCTCTGTAACATAAGCTCAAATTAAACAAGTTAATGAGACAAGAAAAACCAGAACAATATTTTTTCATCTACAATGAGGCATTAATTGCCAAAGAAATAATACCTGCAGCCTTACACCTTGCAGGTAGTACTACAACTGGGAGGCTTTCCACTCACTGACATGCCCCAGCTCCTAGCTCCTCTTCTGCCTGTTCTTTAAACACTGTGGTTTCCCTGGTTAAGGCCAAGGTCCTCTTCTAATTCTAGTCAATAGTCTCCCTCAGACAATCCTTATTTACAGCATTTCTTCCCTCTATTGCTAAAAGTATAACAGCAAAATGTCTACTGTGTTACTAAATGGAATATGCGTGATCTGGAATACAACTGTTAAAGAGAATTTCTCAGTTTGGGGTGACTATTAATACGCAGTACGAGCTATCCAAGTCAGAGATACAATAAAGTACAATTGAATGCTATTAATTAAAATGGGATTTCACCCATAAATTTCTATGTAAATATAATTTCACTACTTAGGACAATGGAAAAGTACAGATTTCTTTTTTTTCCCCCACTATTCTTTATGATTACAATTTTATAGTAGAAGTATAGATTCTGGAGTCTAGGTAAAATCATGGCTTTGCCACTTCCTAGATGTGTGCCATCAAGCAAACTGCTTTACTTCTCTGGGCCTCAGTTTCCTCAGCCAGAAAATGGGGATAATAATCAGTACCTTCCTCATAAAGTTGTTGTAATGAGATATACATGTAGAGTCTGAAACAGGCTCAGATACAAAGTAAGCTCCCAATAAATACCAGCTGTTATATATATATTTATACAAACACACACACATTTTAAGGAGCATAGAGAAAACAACTGGAAGCTAACGCCCCAAAACTCTACTGGTGGCTAAATGAAGTTGGTATAATAGTAGGAGTATTTTCCTTTCCATATTTCTAAATGTGATTAACATAATTTTAATAATAAAAAACATAATAGAAGTCTACATATGTTCCCTCAGTAAGACTGTAATATGCACGACATTATTAGCATTAAGTAGCAGAAATACTGTTCTTTCATAAGACTGCTGATACAGTTAAAGAAAAGGGTTAAAAATAAGTCATATATAGACAAAACCATAAGAAAACAAAAAAGAGCCTAATGATATGACCTGAACACTTACACGGTGAGTGAATAAGAGCAGGGAAGGTTTCTTAAAAGAGATGATGAGTAGAAAGGAAGAACAGAACTAAATGAGTTGAACAGAGGTCTAGAAATAGCAGTGCAGGGCCGGCCCGTGGCTCACTCGGGAGAGTGCGGTGCTGATAACACCAAGGCCCCGGGTTCGGATCCCATATACGGATGGCCGGTTTGCTCACTGGGTGAGCCTGGTGCTGACAACACCAAGCCAAGGGTTGAGATCCCCTTACCAGTCATCTTAAAAAAAAAAAAAAAGAAAGAAATGGCAGTGCACAGGACACTGCGCAATGGCAAGGGGAACACCATGGATGCCATGAAGGGACCAATCACACTGGGCCCAGAACAGACAAATGATAAAAAAACGAGTCCTCGAAGACTTAAATTGGGAGAAAAAACAAACAAAAAGCACAAAAAAGCCACAGCTCTATAAACTACCACTATACCATGATGACCTCACCTGTGAGTAAAATTATATCTCCGAGAAACACTGTAAGTGCCCAAAACGCTGCAGTCCTCCACAGGAAAACCTTCTTCTTAATTTCTGATTGGTCAATTACTACAATTGTTGCTAAGGGCACTTTAGAGCCAGAATTTGGTCCAGATTTTATGTTTATTTCTTTCACATGACATGGAGATAGCACCAGAACTAAACAATTATACTTCTGACTTTTAGAATGACAATTTTTTATTAATGATGTTTTTTTAATACCCTTAAATTCTGACACATTCCTCCGGTCCAATGCTACGGCAGAATCTCTTACATTAGAAATTAGCTTCATTTTCTTAGATACGTGGGGGACTTTACATAGAGTTTTAAAATGGCCTGATTTCTCTTCAGAGGTCCAACTTCTTTTCACAGCACTTTTGTGAAAGGTATTTAGTTGGGAACACAGTATTCCTGAGCTACACAACTCAATATGTATCTCGTTTGGTGGTAGTTTATCTTCAGCGCTGAAAAGTTCTTGAGATTCTGTATTTTCTTCCAGACCTTTATCAGAGTTTATTTGACTGTGGCTACTTTTTGCTTCAGGACAAACAGAACTGAAAAGTTCCAAGGAATATGCTTCGTTCTGTCCACTTTCGCATACTTCTGCAAAGTCGCCCTTAGGCTGAATTGAGTTTTCTTCAGTTTTTATTTCCCCATGACTTGCCTTTGGTTCAATCTCCATGTTTATGGTCCCTTTATTTATAGAATTCTGCCCTTTATCCTTCGTTTGAGCTAAAAAAGCAACCTGGCTGGCAGTCATTATACTGAGAAATTCAGTATCAGTAGATATTTTAAGGTTTGGGACCTTCCTAACGGCTCCTTCAGACCTTGGCTTATCTACTGTATTAGAAAAGAATTCCGGACGTTGGTTTTGTATTTCGTGATGTTCCGTTGGCACACATTTTGTTCCTACAGATTCTGGCCCTATATTAATTTGTTGAGTACTACAGACCAAATCCAGTACAGCTGCACACTTGTGATCTAACCAAAAGGAATCTGTTTGAAAGTTTTGACCACATGTATTTGACTTATTTTCAGGCTGCTCTTCTGTAATTTTTTTATTTTCATGTTGAAGCTTTTGACACTTTTCTTCTTCAGTTAAATGATAGACTCTGCCCTTAAATCCACATATTTCCACATTAGAATTAGTCACATCACTGAGCCCTGAGGGGTGAATCTTCTGTGATTTTATATTCTGTGTTTCAGTAATACAACATTTAAAGTCATCTTTCATAAGAACAGATCTACTCATAGAGTTCACTAGAAAATGACCACTAAGAAGATCTGGAGGGCCAATAGATTCTTGGACTTCACGGTCTTCAAGATTTTTGTGCTTATGTTTTTCATCGCTCAGACGTAAAGAATGTTGACCGCACAAAAGATGAATTTTTTTCCAGGGGTCAGCAGTGGACATTAAAGAAGTTGTGTCCTGTGATACTGTCATTTTTAGTGGACCAACTGGAGCACCCAAAAAAATGTGAACTTGAGATCCTCCACTCATGGTTTCTGATAAAAATGAAAAATCCAAAATTAACATTTTGTCAGTAGATTTTTATATATTGATAACAAGTTAATAATGTACAAAAGAAAATTAATCCAAACTATGAACCAAAATATAACAGAGATGATTTATTTTGATGTGCCATTTAATTATAAAATTTATAAGTGCACAAGGAATCATAACAAAAAATTTAAATATTCACAAAAAATCTTCACCTAAAGACTCTCTTTAAGGGAAATAAAGCTAAGTATAGTAACCTTAAACACGTAAATTAATTCTTAGTATGTTCATGTCTTATGCTGTAAAAACTTGCCCTATTTAAATAATAAGTTAGTAAAGAAGGAGGGAAAAGGGCATTTATTTAATGGTATTATAGTCACCTTTAACTTACCTGTTTTCTTTACTCCTTAGATTACCTCAGTAAGTTTAGGGCCTCTTTCCTCCAACTGTGAACTCAATTCCCCAGACCAAATTAGAAGGCTCAAACCAGGAGGTAGAGAAAATAAAACACTGAGTCTCTCTTCAAAGTGTACAAGTGACTATATTATCTATCTTCACACCAATCTATCAGCACAATCAATAATTGTTTCTAGGGCCGGCCCGGTGGCGCACTGGAGAGTGCGCCGCTTGGGAGCGCGGCGGCGCTCCCGCCGAGGGTTCGGATCCCATGTGGAGACCGGTTCCCGCTCACTGGCTGAGCACGGTGCAGGCGCAACACCGAGGGTTGCGATCCCGTTGCCGGTCCCCGGTACGGGCGTGACACCGAGGGTTGCAATCCCGTCACCGGTCAGTAAAAAAGACAAAAAGGAAAAAATAATAATAATAATAATTGTTTCTACATTTTTTAAATCTTCCTTAAATACAATATAGATTAATAAAAGCATTTTGTAGCATATGGATAAAAAAGAAAGTCATTATTATTTATACCTGTTTTCACTACCTGTGGCACGTGATATAAGTACATTTAAGTAAGCATCATACTTACTGAGATAAACATAAAAAATTATACTAGTTTACCTGATAATAACTGACTTTCAATAAGTATTTACTAAATACATTTATTCCTAGAGTTCACTAAAAACATTCTAACAGTGGTACAGGGGCAAAAATACAGATAGGGTTCTTGGCCTAAGGGAACTGTTGGCCTGGTTTTTAAAAAACAAAAAGGAGAGAAACATACTAAATACAAAATTAATAGTTTCAAAATTATGTAATAATACCATAAGCTATAAATAGGAAACAATAACAATCTACCGGAGAAGAATGCTACTGTGGAAGGCAGGCATTGTGTCTAAGAGCATCTCAAACAAAAGAAATGGCAGCTGTAAAAGGGCAGAGTCATGAAAAACCACAGTATGATTAGTGACTTCTGGTTAGAGTACAGGGAACACATCAAATATGTTTAAATCCATAAGTTCATAAAGATAACTAAGGCGAACTCACTCAATGATCACCTTTAGAAGATGCTGGGGGACTAATTGTTTTAAAAGCTGATGAGTAAATAAAGAAGAAAAAAAAAGAAAAACTGATGAGAGGAAAGAAATTTTATGCTGTCTTTCTATACTAACAAGTATCTCAAGATGACCAACTACTTGATGAGAAAACTCTCTTTGTAGAATTACTCTAATAAACAAAAAAGGAATGATAGAATATTATTGTTTCGGAACTCCTAATGAAGTAATGGCTCTTCTAGGCAATGATTGTTCATGGCTGCTAACATCACAAAGACAGATGCTATAAATGAGCACTGAGAAAACCTGCTGATTGAGGCCAATTATAACGTATGAACCTTATTTAGATCCTGATTTCAACAAACAAGTGTAAAAATATTATAAGAATATAAGAAAAACAAACTGATTGATATAAGAACATTAAGAGCTTATTGTTATTTTTTTAGTGGGATAATGTTATGAATGTATTAGTCTGTATTCTGTTGCTTATAACAGAATACCTGAAACTGGCTAATTCATAAAGAAATGAAATTTATATTTTACAGTTTTGGAGGCTGGGATGTTCAGGGTTCTGGGTGCACATCTGGTGAGGGCCTTCTTCTTGGTACAGAGTCCCATAGCAATGCAGAGTATCACATGGCAAGAATGCAAGAGCCCTTTCATGTGTTCTCCTTACAAAGCCACCAGTCCAGACCCATGACAATCCATTAAACTATCACCCCATTACTCTGTGAAAGGGTTAGTCCATTCACGAGGACCTAGTCCTTACAATTCAATTATCTCCCAAAGACCCCAACTTTCAAACATCATAATCAGATTTCCCACTCTCTTAATAGTTACAATAAGGATCAAGTTTCCAACACATGAACTTTTGGGGGATATGTTCAACCCACAGCACTGAGGTTATGTTTAAAAGAGTTGTTCATGGCTTGCTGGTTAGGTCGGTTGGTTAGAGTGCAGTGTTGTAACCCCAAGGTTAAGAATTCAGATCCCCACATTGGACAGCTACAAAAATAAATAAAAGAGTTATATTCTACAGATGCATAATGAGTGTTTGTAGATAGAATGGTGTGACATCTCAAATCTCTTTAAAATAACTGGAAGGGTGAAGGCAGTGAGGGTGTAGATGAAACAAGATGACCATTGTTGATAATTGTTGAGGCGGGGTGATAGAACACACAGGGGTTCACTGCACTAATCAATCTACTTTTACATATGAAAAGCTAGGGCTTACAGACCCCTCGAGTCTGTTGCACAGATGAGGTTACAAACCCTCCACACACAGGTCTGTGAGCTAGGTAATAGAAAAAAAAGGTTCTGGGAGCCGTGAGTACAGAAAAATGAATGGGTTTTATTCAGATCTAGGAGCAACTGTCCTAGTGGCTTCTCTGAGAGTTCTGAGAAAAAAGAAAAGGCTCTGGGAGCTGTGGGTATAGAGAAATGAATGGGTTTTATTCAGATCCAGGAGCAACTGTCCTAGTGGCCCCTCTGAGAGTTCTGAGGAGCACTGGGGATCAGAGCTGTTAGTCTTTTATACTTAAGTGCACAACCCTGGACACCTGGGTGCCCAAACACAACTTACCTTAAGTAGTCACAAGGAACCCCTGAGGATATTTACAGCAAATGCTTGGCAAGACTCTGAACATCTGAGGGGCTTTGATATTTTCTTATTTTTCCCAACAACATATGTTTGAAATATCCTATAATACAAGTCCTCCTTTTTGTTGTTTTTAAAAAATACTATTTCACACCCACAGGACTGGGGTAAATTTTAAACATTTTTAAACATTAAAAATTTTAAACATAAATACGCAAGATTGAGGAACTCTTACACAGCTGGTGGAAGAGTAAATTAGCGCACCACTTTGAAGAACAATTTGGCAAACACGGTAAAGCTGAAGATGCACATATCATGTAACAAAACAATTCCACTTCCAAGTTTCTGCCCTGGAAAACTCTTGTACACATACATCACAATATACATAGATACATCATACAATCATAATTTTAAGTGAAAAAAATAATTTGAAGAATATATAACTTATGATGCCAATATGTTAAGTTTTAAAATATGCCTGAGAATAAATCACCAAATTCAGGATTGTTACCTTTGGGAGGGAGGAATGGGGATGTGGTGGGTAAAGAATATGAGAGGGCTTCACCCGTGTTGAACATGTTTTATTTTTTTAACTAAGTGTGGTTACAGAGGTGTTTCTTATATTATTCAGAAATACTTCATAATATTAAAAAAAAATCCTAGAGTGCTGGCCAGTTAACTCAGTTGGTTAAAGCATGGTGCTGATAACACCAAGGTCTAGGGTTTGATCCTTTTATTGGCCAGGTGCCAAAAAAAAAAAAAAATCTTAGAAAGAAAAACATTGAGAAGCAAGATTACAGATGATTTTTTTTAATATTTCTATATTTTAAAAGTAATATTGTGATAAATAATCAATGTGTTTTATTTTCATAATAATCAAATTGTTTTTGTTTGGTAATTCAAGCTTTTCTTTCACAATATTCAAACTGCATATAGTGTTCCAATAGTTATATAATGCCATATATCTAACATTTCAGTATAAGAGCTGACTGCAGTGATTGCAGCTGTTAATATATTAGTAGCTAAAATAAAGACATACTGTAATTTTCATACTGCTTATTATAGTGAATTAGTACTAAGGAAACAAAATTATACTAATTTTAGGTGTCAACTTTTGACCCACTGCAAATCAAAGGCCTAAGCATGCCTATAATTAGTATAATAACTGTTGGGAAAATACAGGAAAATGGTCAGGGCCCCTCAGATGTTCTGAATCTTGCTGAGCATTTGGCGTAATATGCACATGCACCCAGGTGTTCCTTGGTTATTGTCTATTGTAATTGCACATGTGCACCCAGATGTCCTGGGTTATGGACTTAAGTATAAAGGACTAACAGCTCTGATACACGGTGCTTCTCAGGACTCTCCAGGAGGCCACTAGGGCACTAGGGCAGCTGCTCCTAGCTCTGAATAAAGCCTAATAATTTTTTACCCACTGCTCCCAAGAACTTTTCCTATTACCTAGCTCGTAGATCTGCATGTGAAGGGTTTGTGACCCAGTCTGTACAACGGGCTTGAGCGGTCTGTGAGCCCTAGCCCTGTTGGTAGTCGTGTAGCTTTACAATTGGTGTAGTTGGCAGGATTCTGAGCAGGTACGGGAGCCAATAGCCCCTTGGGAGAAGGAGGAAACGTGGCTACTCTTGAGTATGTTGTGCCCGATGGCCACTTTCCTGTTGACGGGGATCTGGTTGCTGCTCACTATACCACAAGTCAGCATAGACCAGGCACTCCACAAAGCAGTTCAGCTTCAAGATTTGCAGTGGAAAGCCCCTGGGGAGGGGAAGAAAATGTTACTATCCTTGAGTATGTATGCCCGGAAGCCACTAATCTGCTGACCAGAGTCTGGCTACTGTTCACTGTACTGCAAGCTGATCAAGATTCGAAGCAGAAAGCAGAGTTGTTGGAAGCCCAGATAATTGTCCTGGAGGATGATGTACAGTGACTGGCCATCC